TATCAATCGGTACGTACCAACCGTACCAACCAGTATGAAACGGATTTGTCAACATTGGTTATAGGGAGCCTAGGAGCAGGTTAATTCTAGTTTAATAAATTTCGGTTGATTTATTTTATTATTAGGTAACGATATCTTAGTTGATTTTTTTTGGCTTAATGCCACTAAAAATCCTCCAACTTTACAAAAATAGTCCTTTTATCGCTATACTCTAAAACTATTCATAATGATCCTTGAAGTTTAGAGAAAGGGCTAACCGTAATCCCTGCATAGACGGATGTTATAATACCATCAATTTATAGTTAAAATCCTTCACATTTTAATGGTAAAATATGAGAGTTGACCCCTTAACTTTAGTTCTTGTGCACTTTGATCCTCAAAATTCAATTTTATTCAATTTAATCCCTAATTTCAACTTTTTTTTATTATAATTTGCTTTCCAAACTTTTAAAAGAGATGCACTTAAATTTAAAATTTTCTAATTTCATGCATTTTGGTCCTTTTTTCACAAATAATAAAATTATGTAACTTTCAATAAAATCACATTTAAATATTTAGTTTGTTCAAATTTTAATAAAATCAAGCATGAAATAGTAAACTAAAACATATAAAATTATATAACCAAAGCATAAAATTAAATTTTGGTTAAACCCCCATTTTGGTCCCTCAACTATTGTACTGACCCCCGACTTAGTCTCTCAACTCAAAAAATCCCTGATTTGGTCCTTACTATTTACCATTTTTATCCCAATTTAGTCCCTCCGTTAAAAATCCAATGACGTGTCCTGTTAATTAACTGAAGCATGATGATGTGTCAAAATAGAATGACACCTCATATGCACACTTGTAAAAAAAGATGACATGGCAGTATGATTTGGATCCAAAAACAAAAAAAAAAAGAATGGGCCCCACCTCCTGCAAAGCCTGAACTCTTCTCCCCTTTTCTTCCCCATTCCCAGTTCTCAGTTCCTCATCTTGCCTAGCTTTCTTCATCAATCAATTCCTTCATCATCATGAAACAACAAGATCCACAGAAAAAAATAAATTCTCTTTTTTTTTTTTTTTTTTTTTGCTCTTGAGCTAAATCAATCATAAATCCTATTGAGTCTTCCTAGGTTCGTCCTCCGCCTAGATTCTTTC